CCTTCAAATTGGTCTTCCTGCTTCTACTCTTGCTCTTATACAATCTATTCTCAATAAAAGACATTATATAAGTTAGTCAAATCATGTCACCTCTATGCTCAAGATTGTCCATTTTTCCCATTTTCATTGTGAATAAAACCCAAAAGTCTATATTGACTTTCGGGATTCTACATGATCTAGTGTCCTGCTGACCTCATCCCCTGCTTCAGCTACACAAACTTCCTAGCTATTCTTCAAGCACACCAGGCAGCAGCACCCTCCCACCTCAGAGCCTTTGCACTTGCTCTTCTAGGTACCCGGAATATTTATCCTTCCCAACCCAACTATCTGCATGGCATACTCCATTTCCTTCAGATCTCTGCTCAAATGTCACCTTTATCAGGGTTCTTCCCTTATCAGTCCCCATTGTCATTCCCTTTTCCCTTATGCTACTCTGTATTTTTCTATAGCACTTATCACTACCTGTCATATATTGATCGGTTTGTTTATTTATTGTCTGTCTCCTTAAGCTGAAATATAACCCTCGTGAGGGCAGGGTCTTTGCTTAGAATAGTACTTCGTCTCAATAAGCATTTATTAAATGAATAAATTATTCCCTGCATAAACCCTTTACCCCAGAGAGACTTGTTTTTCTCACTGTCCCAATACAATAATAATGGTAGCTAATTTTGCTGAGTGATTTCAATGTGCTAGGAGTTGGACACATGGTTTTCTTTTAATCCTATTCAATTGACAACTCCATGAGATAAAAACTATTTTTATCTATATTTACAGTTGAGAAATCTGAGCCTTAAAGAGGTTAAGTAACTTGTACACAATCATATAGTTAGTTAATGGCAGAAGCAGGTCTCAAATTAGGTTAGTTTGACACCAAAATCCATCCTCAGAATTTTTGTGTTATACTGCCTCCCTACAATGCTTTCTCCCTTCTGTGAACCATTCATGTAAGTGGCTTTTTGCAGTTTGGCCCATAATTGTTTTCAGGCTGTTCTATAAAGGCTTGTCTTCTCAACTGGAATGTAAATTCCATGAGACCAGAGTCTGAGCCATTTAAATCTCATAATATTTTATCTAATATTTTTAAGAAAATAATTGAAATTAAATTTATGGCTAACATGGCTAATTTCTCTTTTCATTGTCAAAGCCAAGTATTGGACAACTAGAATAATGAAGTAGTATTATATGGTGAAAAGAGTAGTTGACTAGGACTGAGGATATCGGAAGATTAGTCTCAGCTCTGTCTCTAAGCAGTATATGACCCGTAAGCAAATCACTTAGCTTTTCTGACCCTTAATCTACCCACCTGTAAAGAGAACTGGCCTACAATGGCTCTAGGCAATTGCTTCAAGTTCTAAAAATACTATTATTCCATGAACATTTACAATGTGTCAAGCCAAAAATAAGAGGCCAAATTCTTCCTTAATATGGTTCTATTTTGGCTATTTGGAGTACTTTCCTAAGAGCACAATTTCTTTTGTGGATTATTTCAGTCTATGTATAAGACATGCTCCAAAATAAGGAATGAGATACAAATGTGGTTTGCTAATGCCCCTACAACTATCTAAATGATACAGCTTAGGTTGAGAAGAAAGCCATACTATGGCTCCATAAGAAGTATATCAACTGGAGCAAATCATTGAAAAGATGTCATTTTAAATAACATTAATAAAAATTAGAACAGGAAGAAGGTGGGTGGACTTTCCCCTCAAAGACAAAGGACTTTGGGGGGAAAGGAGGACTTCATAGAATAAATGATATAATAGAGAGTCTGAAAAATATTGAGTCTATGATAAAGGCAAATAGTGCAAGAAAAATGCCAGGCAATTTTTAATATCAGGAAAAAAAATCTACCCTTAAAGGAAATGCAATCGTAATATCTTACTTTTATGTAAGCATTGGTTTAAAATTAACTAAAAAACTGAACTATAATTAAATTGGGAAGATGAGAGAAAGAAGTTGGAGTATACAAGAATTAAATTCTCATTTATCATAATAGGAAGTCAATATTTTCTTTAAAAAAGATGAAGAATTATCAATATAAGCATATTATTTAAAAATATAGAGGTAGCAAAGGGAAGTAACCACACATCTGGCATATTTGTACTTTACTTTCCTCTAACAAATGTGATTTATTTGTAGTGTGCTTTTGCTTTACTATAAACATAAAAGAATTGAATAATAATGGCCCATACAGAACTTGTCCCCCACTCATCAGCCCCTGTATCCATAACGCCTACATAGGGCTAAGTACCCAATGACTTTAACAATTCTTGTTGACTGAGTGACCAATGTAAAAATGTAGTGAAGATGTCTTGTTATGGAGTTGCAGAATTTTGCACCGGAAGTAAATTTAGAGATTATCTAATCCAGTACTTCTCAAATTGGTGTTCCATGGAATATTTCTTCTTATAATGTTAATAACATGCTGAAAAAAAAGTGTTTGGGACTCAAATAAATTTGGGAAAACACATGTTAAACAAAATTAACCATACGTGTTTACTGTAGGACTTCCTGGAGGCTTTACAACGTTAATATAGATTGGAAATCCCATGAAAAAGAATTTATTATGTAATATTTCTCACATTCATTTGTTTCATGAGTTAAGAAGCCAGCCTTTTTTTTTTTTTTTTTTAAATCCCTACAACCACT